GGTTCGCAACCTGTGACAGTTAAACTTAGGGTAATTTAGTTTTTCTCATCAATTCAAGATTCAAACTATACGCTTATAGCTATAAATCGATTGATAATCATTTGCAAGACTGAAAGCTACCTTTAATTAATTAACGATAAAATAATATAGATACTTAGCTACAATAAACAAATAATTTAACGTTGGCATTATAAGGTAGCAATCATTAGATAGTTTATATCAATATCTTAAAATTAGAAATACTTAAAGTCCTCAAGCAGCTAATACACCGAATTTTCAAGGACCTTGAGTAGATTATACTATCGACTTTTCGAAGACTAAGGATTTTCAAGGACCTTAAGTAGACTATACTGTCGACTTTTCGAGGATTAAGGATTTTCGAGGACCTTGAGTAGACTATGTTGTCGACTTTTCAAGGACCTAAAAACTTCGAAATTTTCGATTACTTAAAATCCTATTTTAGAATATACACTATACTCGATTAGTGTCTTTAGCTTACTATGATACAATGTTATGTGGTATAAAGGTCCGAGCCTATTGAATTGGCAGAAGTGGCCTTATTTTAGGATCTAGCGAGATTGGACCTCGATACTGTCCTTTTAGGGCCACCATTTCCAAAACAGGGAACAGAGCCAGAACATTAGAATTGATCAATGACTGGCAAATGTTTCTCTTCAACCTTAGTTTAATATTCCTCCCATCGAAGCATCTGGCTTGTAAGAATCGATGCTGGGCCTGAATAATTAGAGCTCTGCACGGTATGACTTCGTAACAGAACATTCCAGACAGAGGCGGCATCTATAGCGGAGCGAAACTACTCCTAGCACTGACTATAGATGTCTACTCTCTGTCTCTATCTTTTTCTTCATATATTATACGTACGACTCCGAGATATCTTGAAAACATGTTTGCTACCAAGTAATCAGGGTTACAGAGCATAGGCTAGGAAAAGAGAGTTATAGTATAGATCTCCATATACTGGCAGTATTAATTATATAGTGTACGGATTGTAAAAAGTCAGGAATGGTATAGCTCTGCAGATACTGTGTACAGTAGGTGTACCAAAGCTCTGTCTAAGATTTTGCCTCTTCACAAGCTTTGTTAGGCTAGGAAGAGACAGATTTGATTTGGAACTAGCTCTAGATTGTAGAGAGTGCTTATAAGGCTTCACTAGACCAGATCATGGTCTTTAGAACTCAGTAACCATGTCTACTTAGGTAGTTGCTGCACACTAGGTAAAAGTTGCATTGAGCATGGTAGGCTCGTAGGGTATAGTGACACACAGCGCCTGTCCCATATTAATTGATTAATGAATGCTGATCACGGCCCACAAATAACCGTTGCCCTCCACAATGAATACGTACCACTTCGGTATTTGAAGTGCGTTGCCATGACGTGTCGTTACAAAGCCACAATTAAAGGGGTATTGCATTTTACATGATCGGCTGCTCCAAGAAGTCACATAAATCCTTTGCTCTGAGCTAGAGAAAAAGAAACAGCACCTACATTACATGCTTCTCGCGCATTGCTGAAACTTGTTTGTCTCTCTTTGAAAAGCAATGGCTCGACGAATCTGCGATACGGCATTTATAGCGACATTGGGACTACTCATCCCAGCAGTCAGAGCGGCTCTCTATGATGGCATTATCCGGACACCAAATGGCCCGGTACAGGGATACGCAGCCTTCAACGCCAGCCCTACTAACATGAATCTCACCAATTGGCGTGATGTAACTGTCTGGTAGGTCAATTGCCTTCTCTGTACTTTTTGGAGAGTTATCTCTATTTACTAAATAGCATTTTCATTAATTATTTGTGTTCAGGAAAGGTATCCCCTTTGCTGCGGATACCTCGGGAGAGAATCGCTTCCGACCCCCACAGAATGTCACATCTTGGAATACAACCTTTGACGCCCGAGACTACGGCTATTCCTGCCCGTCATCTGGCACCACTTACGCCACAATTGGAGAGGACTGCTTGAATGTTAATGTCTGGAGTGCAGCCAATTCTACAAACGATAGATTGCCTGTTGTTATGTGGAGCTATCCAGCTGGAGGCTCGAATGCAGACCCCCGGTTCGATGGCGGAGGCATGGCCGACAAGGGAGTTGTGTTTGTCAATTACAACTATCGTACTGGTCCAACCGGCTGGCTTGTGTCGCCTGAGTTAACTAAGGAGAATTTGGCTAGCATCGGCTTAAATAGCTCAGGGAACTATGGAATGCTGGACCAATTCGCCGCTTTGCAATGGGTACGGGACAACATCGCATCTTTCGGCGGCGATCCTGATCACATCACAGTCATGGGTCAGTCGGCTGGGTCAGCTGCTACTTATCATATTCTGAATACGCTTTAACGAAAGGCAAGATCGTTGGCGCCATCATACAAAGTGGTCTTCGCGATCCCCATGACCCATCAGCTACGGAGCTTGCTGAGGGTTATCAGACCTATGACGTGGCGGAAGCGTACGGCGTGTCGTTCATGGAGTCTGTCAATTGCAGCACGATTGCCTGTATGCGATCCTTACCCATGGAAACGCTCGACACTTCTGAACTTGGTGGCACGGCTGGTGCATCCTTCAAGGCCACTCTCGACTATTATTGTATGCCGGACACTTATCTGAATACGTTGAAACTTGGTCTAGCTCACGACGTCCCTATCTTGACTGGAAACACAAAAGACGAGAGCGGTGCTTCGTACGGGCTGAACATCACGTTTGCACAATACCTGAAAGATTTGAACAGCACCTACGAAGGCGACTTTGTAGACCAGTTCTTGAAGGCCTACCCTGCTAACGATTCTCTTACCGCTTCAGCTGCCGAAAATGCTCAGTACACTGATCGATCCACGGTGGGCACTCAATTTTGGGCCAATTATTGGATGAGAAATAGAACCAGCTCAGTATGGACTTACCTTTGGGATCATGCGCCTCCAGGACAGACTGCAGGCGCTGCACACATGACCGAGATTCAGTACACCCAAAATAACTTGTACAACGTCTACTATGGACAATGGGAGGACGACGACTACCAAATTTCTACGAGAATGAATAGTTACTGGGTGAACTTCATCAAGTTTGGTAATCCCAACGGCAAGCAGCTGCCCAAATGGGATAATGTTGCTTCCAATACAACAACAACGCAGGAACTTGGCAATGGATGGGGACCCAGAATTCTTGCACACGTGAACCAGATTGATCTGTTCAAATCGTGGTTTGCTACCTTGCCAGCCATTTAAGACTACAATGTATAGAGGACAAGTCCTAAAATAGAGAGTCGACTACTCACTTTTTCTCTCCTATCCAAGATATTATAGTTTACCTAGCCACAGTATAGGCAGCCCTTTATATAGCTCTCTATAATTTCTCAGACTTAAGAATAGACAGTTCACTATAGATGCTCTGACAGAATATACCAGTTCTAGTGAGAGGCTCTCTTTAGCTATTAACCTAGCTACTGTGACAAAAGCCGGCCTTACATTATAAAGCGTCTATCAGCTACCCTATGGATTAAGGGCTATCTAACTGTATCAATATTGTTATAGACACCTAAGTAGTTACAGCATGTCCATTCTCAATTCAACAATCGTTGATCACATATCTTAGGCTATGCCACTTTATTCTCGACAGCATAAGTCTTATAGCAGATATAAAAGAAGCAAGAGTCATACAGTATAAATAAAGACCTTATAGATGATTTTCATTAGATACTACTTACTAAGTCTCTAAATCTAATCGTATCTAATCAGATTCTCTTAACCTTAAGCTTAAAGCCTAAGTATATCTAAAGAGACTAAGTACACTATTAAATAAAAGAAAAACCTCTATAAAGAAACCTTTCCTTTATTCTAATAACTAATATACTTTAATCAACTATTCTTAACTATTTATTCTCTATAAGTATAAAGACTTTTTATCTTTTTCTTTCTATAGATCTTACTATAAGTAGGATGAAAGGTAGATAGTAGGTTGCTAAGCTATTAGCTACTTTACTATCTACTAAGTATAGGGTTGTAAGTCTTTATGAGAAAAGTGGGTTAGAAAAGGCGAAAATTGGATATAGTAGGATTTGAACCTACTATCTTTATAATCTATATCTAATTGTAGGGTCATTAGACGTATGCTAACTATATTATATAGCTTTAATATTCTTTAATATTATTTTTAACTAAAATATAAACTTTTTTTACTAAATATTTTATATATTTTTAATAATTAATTATTTTATTTTTATTAAATATTATCTTTCTATAATATTATTTAATAAAACTTTAAAAGCTTTTTAAAAATAAATAAAGTTTTTAAAAGATTATTTAACTTTTTACTTTCTAAAAAATTAGAAAGTAAAGGATAATTATAGTTAGATTTAAACTAACGATTTTTTACTTTGTAAGGTAAGGTATAAATATTAAGAAGGTTAAATCTATAGTATTGTTAATTATATTATATAGCTTTTTTTTTATATATTAATTAAAATATATTTAAATTATTTAAAAAGTTTAAGTTAATTAAAATAAGATAAAATAACTTACTATTAATCTTTTAATAATATAAAATATAATCCTTAAGAGTTTTTATTTAATAAATTATAGAATATAAAAATAAAGAAAGTATAAAATAAACTTTTTTAAATTAAATATTATTATAATTAAATATTTTTTAAATATAAATATTCCTTATATCTACCTTTATAATATTAAAAAGATAAAGCTATTAATATATACTATATATATTAATTTATAACTTTGATAAATTATTGATTATACTAAAAGATAAGAACACTTAGTATATATATCTTAAGTAGATATATAGTATGTTGAGTATAGTCTAACCACTTTTCGAAAACTATAGATGTAATAGATATAATAAACATAATATAAAATATATAATAAA